TAAAACTAGATTTTGATCCGCGCAACCGCGCGGGTGTTTGTTTTCGTTTATAGTTAGTTATATAAATATGTTGTTTTCACTTGTAAATTGGTATATATTATAGTAATCATATATTTACGATATGTATAGTAAATGTTTTTCAAACATAATAATATTATATAATGCGTGTTTTAATCAAATAGATTGTTTCAAATTTTTTATATCATACATGTTTTTCAAACATGTGTTTGTTTTTTCTTTTATATTTTATTATTTGTTAGACTGATATTTCATTTTTAGATAAAGTAATATAAAAAGAGATTGATTAAATATTACTATACTTTAATATGCAAAGATAATATAAACTTCGGAGAAATTTTTGCTAAAACCTAAACTTATAGCTTAATAAATTAATATTATAAAGAATTTTATTAAAAAGAATTTCTTAAACAATTTCCTTTTTAAAAACAATATAATTTTAAAAATTTACATCGAAATAAATTTATCTAGTATATATAGCGTGTAAATTTTATTAGGGTATATAAATATTCTATATTACGAATTTGTGATTTTTGTTAATATATTGTGAATGCATTTAACTATTATTGACATATTTCCTTATAAATAATACAAGATTCCTAAATTTGTATCTATTGACATATTTTGCGTGACTAAGTTGGAAGTTATGAGGTAATTTACCAAAACAAAATTGTTAAGCGTATCTTTGTTATTATAGATATGATTTTTCATAAGGTATAATAATGATAAGATTATTAAAGAGTTAATGTAACATGACTTTCTAGTAATAGTCCATTTTTTAAAAAATCACACATGAAATCAAGTTATGACTTTTGTTTTAATATTTAAGATGGTTGCAAAACTTTTTGGGTCCTAAACAATGGTTTCTTTTGCATGTGCCCGGCCGGGTTGCAACTGTTGGGATAAACTTGAAAGAAGCTTGAGAGAGAAGCAATCCTTATCTTAAGGAGATAACGTTGAAGTGAAGAGATAAAGATGAGAATATTCACTTATGAGAATAATATTAGGATAAGGATTGTAAACATCTATATATAAAGATGTCGAGAGAATGAGATTTGGGAGAGAGATTGTGATTGTGAGAAGCTTAAGTTTTTGAGCTAGTTTTCTTAAGCAATAAAGAGAAGTTCTTGAGTTTTATTCTTAAAGCTTTGAAACAATATTTGGTATCAGAGCTATGGGAGATATCGTGGTCGCGAAACCGAAAGAAGGAGGATCATCCTCGATTAAGTGTCCTATCCTTACGACAACCAACTACACCGTGTGGTCTATGAGAATGAAACTCTTACTCAAGGTCCACAAGGTTTGGGAGGTTGTTGAAACTGAAGTAGCAGATGATGAAAAGAGTAATATGGCCATGGCTCTTATATTTCAATCTATACCTGAGTCACTGATATTGCAAGTTGGGGAGCTATCAACTGCTAAGAAGGTGTGGGACGCAATTAGGATGCGACATGTGGGAGCTGAGCGAGTTAGAGAAGCACGTCTACAAACTCTTATGGCGGACTTTGATAGATTGAAGATGAAGGAGACAGAGACGATTGATGAATTTGTTGGGAAGCTATCTGAGATATCATCAAAGTCATTAGCACTGGGAGAAGAGATTGAAGAAGCAAAGCTTGTGAAGAAGTTCCTTAAGAGTCTACCTCGTAGGAAGTATATACACATTGTGGCTTCACTGGAACAAGTTCTGGATCTCAAAACCACAAGCTTTGAGGACATTATAGGACGTCTGAAAGCCTATGAGGAACGAGTACATGATGAAGACGAAGAAAAACCAGAGGATCAAAGCAAGTTGATGTACGCAAACATGGAAGGTCAGCAACAGACACGTGACTTCAACAACAGCTATAGAGGCAGAGGACGTGGAGGACGCTTCTATAGCAGAGGAAGAGGTCGTGGTAGGATGAATGGACAAAGAGACATGTCAAAATTGATTTGTTTTCGCTGTGACAAAGCAGGACATCTAGCATACGAATGTCCAGATCGCTTGCTCAAGCTACAAGAGATGGTCCCAGAGCCTGAAAATGTTGATACTCAGGAGGCTGAAGAATTGATGATGCATGAGGCAGTGTACTTGAATGAAAGGAAAATTGTTCCTAGTAACTTCAAGGAAAGAGAAGGTGATGATGATGTTTGGTATCTTGACAACGGGGCGAGTAACCACATGAGTGGAGATCAAAGATATTTTTCATACATCGACAACTCTGTTGCTGGGAAAGTTAGATTTGGTGATGACTCGAGGATTGACATCAAAGGGAAAGGATCAATAGAGTTCATAGACAGAAACGGTGAGCCTAGGAAGTTGAGTGATGTCTACTTCATCCCTGATCTCAGAAGCAATATAATCAGCTGAAAGTGAAGATGATGAAACAGAGGATCAAGAAGAACAGATACAACTAAGAAGATCACAAAGAATGACATCTAAGCCTCGATACCTTGAAGATTACGTTATGTTTGCAGAAGAGGCAGGAGAACTAATGTTGATGAGCGTAAACAATGAGCCGTACAATTTTGAAGAAGCAAAAGGATGCAAAGAATGGATACAGGCTTGCGAAGATGAGATAAAGTCTATCACTAAACTTAAGTGTTGGACTCTTGTTGATCTTCCACAAGGAGTGAAACCCATAGGCTTAAAATGGGTCTTTAAACTGAAGAGGAATTCTGATGGGAGCATCAACAAGTACAAGGCTCGTCTCGTTGCTAAAGGCTATGTTCAGCAGTATGGGGTTGATTATGAAGAGATCTTCGCTCCGGTTGCAAGAATAGAAACAATACGGTTGCTGATTAGTCTTGCTGCATCACATGGCTGGGAGATACATCATTTGGATGTTAAAACTGCGTTCTTACATGGAGAGTTAAAGGAGACTGTGTATGTTACTCAACCTGAGGGTTTTGAATTAGAAGGATGTGAAGGCAAGGTGTACAAGTTACACAAGGCGTTGTATGGTTTAAAACAGGCACCGAGAGCATGGAATGATAAGCTAAACAGAATACTACTTGATTTGGTGTTCACACGGTGTTTGAAGGAGCCTTCGGTCTATCACAAAACCGTGAAAGGAGATCTTCTTGTAGTTGCAGTATACGTGGATGACTTGTTTGTTACAAGGACAAACATGAGAGTTGTTACTGAGTTTAAGAAGGAGATGGCAAATACATTTGAGATGAGTGACTTGGGAAAGTTGTCTTACTACTTAGGAATTGAAGTGTGTCAACATGACAAGGGTATAACATTGAGCCAAGAGCGATATGCTTTGAAGATTCTAGAAGAAACTGGTATGAAAGATAGTAACTCAGTGAGAATACCTATGGATGCTGGTCTTAAATTGGAGAAATCAGATAAGGAAAGGGTGATCGAAGCAACAAGTTACAGAAAAACAGTGGGATGTTTCAGATACTTGCTTCACACGAGACCGGATTTGGCGTACTGTGTTGGAGTCTTGAGCAGGTATATGCAAAGTCCTAGAGAGTCCCATGGAGTGGCGTTGAAGCAGTGTCTCAGATACTTGCGTGGAAGTGTGTCTTATGGCTTGACATTCGAGCAAACAGCTTCTCACGAAAGGAAACTTATAGGCTACAGTGACAGCAGCTATAATGTAGATCCTGATGATGGTAGGAGTACAACAGGGCATATATTCTATCTTGGAATGAGTCCCATCACGTGGTGTTCTCAAAAACAAGAGACGGTGGCTCTTTCTTCATGCGAGGCTGAGTTTATGGCAGGGACTGAAGCTGCGAGACAGGCAATTTGGCTTCAGGATTTGTTAGCTGAGATCTTGGGAGCTGCATGTGAAAGAGTAGTGATACGCATTGATAATCAGTCAGCTATAGCATTGACTAGAAACCCAGTGTTCCATGGTCGAAGCAAACATATACACACTCGTTATCTTTTCATTAGGGAGTGTGTAGAGAAAGGTTTGATTAAGGTTGAGCATGTTCCTGGCAATGAGCAAAAGGCAGACATTCTGACAAAGGCTCTTGCAAGGATCAAGTTTACAGAGATGAGAGAACTCATAGGAGTTCATGAAGTGAAGAAAGAAGCTTTCAAGTTTAGAGGGGAGACTGTTGGGATAAACTTGAAAGAAGCTTGAGAGAGAAGCAATCCTTATCTTAAGGAGATAACGTTGAAGTGAAGAGATAAATATGAGAATATTCACTTATGAGAATAATATTAGGATAAGGATTGTAAACATCTATATATAAAGATGTCGAGAGAATGAGATTTGGGAGAGAGATTGTGATTGTGAGAAGCTTAAGTTTTTGAGCTAGTTTTCTTAAGCAATAAAGAGAAGTTCTTGAGTTTTATTCTTAAAGCTTTGAAACAATAGCAACAATTTGATCTCATGAGAAACATGTCATTATCCGATACTAGATGAAGTTAAAACTTCTTTCCGCATAGTTGCTAAATTTTGTTTATCTGTGTAACTACAAAATTCAAGACCTTAGCACTATACTTTTACGGATCAGCAAAATACATGAAAAAATTTTAATTTTTTCTTCGCTGACAAAGCTTAAAACTTGGACCTACAATTTTCTATGCATGTTCGACAATAAGAGCTAGCCGTTCGGGTATATATTTGCCAATTTGCTCGACAATAAGAGCTAGCCGTTTTGTCGCAGATGTGATGTGTGTGGTCCTTGTCTCCATGTCTGATTCAGTTTGGCGATGTGTTTTCGGCCGGATTAGAATACTGTGGGATTGTGGTTACGCCTATATGGTTGTGGTTTCCTCAAGTCCTTGTTTGGCTCTTATGTTTCTTAATCCGTGTTTGTCTCGGTTTCTCTTGAAACCATCCCTTGATTGACGTCTGCGTGGAGGTTGGAAGTCTTTTGGTTGAAGGTTGTGCTCTACTTTTTCTATCCTTAGTTGTATTCTTCTATGTGGTGTTGTTGTTTTATTGGTATGTCTTGCCCGTATGGTTTGTAACATTTGGACCTTCAACTTCCGTTTAATGCAATCCATAGATGAACAAAAAAAAAAGAGTCTAAATGGTAAATAGAAAGTTCAATACAACATAACATCTGAAATCAAAATCCAAAAGGGAAAACAAATAAAAAAACATAAAGATCTTATACATATTGATCTGAGAAATGAGTTTTGCTCTAGGTACACCAAACTCCTTCCTCCTATCAATCATTTGTTCTGGTGTAGGCACTTGTTCTCGTATAGACTCACAGTTTTCCTGGATGGTTAGACTTACGTTTGTTTCCTCTGCCAAGATCTGGACACCACATTCAATAATGTCGATGTTCTTGGATGCGGTGCTGAACTCAAACGATACCTCGTTGTTTTGTTCAAGCCATCCTTCCTTGTCATGCAAGGTACATCGACGTATACACAAATGTTCTTCTCTGAATCTACTGAAATCACAAATTACGTTGTCATCATCGGGGAAACCGTTTATGCATATGCGACACAGTAACTTGCACGAGTCTTCAGTCTCCTGTTTAGGGGAAACCACAACGCAAATTCTAATTTTTTTGAAATCTGAACGGATGGTCAACAAATTTCCTATAGCTCTATGAAAAAACTCCTCAGGTACATTTCTTCCGGGTAGAGACGCCTTAAATGATTGATGGGTAATCACTCTTCTTGCTTCTTGATCCAATTTGAAGCAGTTGGGGAAATCAAGAAACAAAACTGGAGAGTCAAAAGAGAAAGATAAGGTCTCTAGTGACTCACAAGTGTCTACTATTAGTCCTCTGAGAGTGCCAGGGAGCTCTGGTATTAATGCAAGCTTTGGACAGCCAATTATATGAAGCCATGCTAAACCATGAAGATCTTTGATCCAATCAGGAATCTTCTCTATATCTGCGCCACTCCGCTTTATAAACTTCTCCACCTTGAACTGCGATCTATTGGCACTACCGTGTATAATGAGCGTTTCAAGGCGAGACCAAAGCCTAGGCAGTTCTTCCAGCATTGTTTCTGCTATTGTTAGTCTTGTGACGTTGGTGGAGATATATGGAATTTTTCTCAGCTGCCAACATCCAACCATCTCGACACTTTCAAGAGATGCCAAGTTGAAATGAGTTGGAACCATTTGTAGCTGTGTACAGTAATCCATCCCCAAGAACTCTAGTTTGTGAAGATTTCCAATAGAGGAAGGAATCTCTACCAAACTGGAGCAACCACGAAGAACCAGCTTCTCGAGATTTGTAGCCGTTGAAAGATCTGGAAGTTCTTTTAAATTCATGGACGCTAACAAATTCATCTTCTTGAGATTTGCAAGTGGCTGATTGTTAAACACAACACAACAGAGGAAAGAAAGATCATTAGCAATTTAGCACCATGATGGAAAAAGTACTACTTCTACTATTCAAAATAAGTAAATATATATTCTATCATTCTAGCATTTTTTTCTGTTTAAAAAATGTGTCTATCTACATTTTTAATGCAATTTTTCGTACACAATTTTATTTTTATCCTTTCAAATAACTAATAATGTTTTTCAATAATTTTTATTTAAATAATTAGACATTATCACTTTTTTTTTAATCTGTTAAAATATATCTAAGGTCTCGATTGGTACAGTAGATAATAAAACATTAGCAATATGCTGTGAAAGCAATATACTGCATAAGTTGTATGCTTTCATTTAATTATTTAATAATGTGATTGGTAGAGCAGTAGTAGTATACAATTTAAAAAATATCATAAAATTAATATATAATATATTTATTTTAAAATTATATATATAATATATTAATAATTTGTTTACTATTACAAATAAAAAATATATTCATTTTCTAAATTATATTATATTTGAAATATTATTATTTAGAAAAAAAAATTATAATTTATATTAAATATTAAATATATTTGGATATAACATAATTTTAATATTATAAAATAAAGTAACTATATAATTTATATATTAATTATCATTATTTATTTATTGGTAGAGTAATAAATGATTCATTTATAAAATTATAATAACAAATTAATATATGATACATAATTTATTTATTTTTCTAAATAATATATATATATGTTTCATATATATATATAAATATATATTAATTTATGTTTATTATTAAAAATAATGAATGAAATAAGCAATTATATAAATTATATTATATTTTAAATGTGAAATCTTGTTTTTTAAGTTGAAAATATTTAACTGCAATTTTTATTTTTAAAATATATAAATATATATATATATATATATTTATCATAAAAATAGTTTTTATATTACTAAATAAACATAAATCAATTATATATAATTATTTTATAGTTTTTACATATTCTAACTGCAAATGCTCTCGTAAAAGCTTTATATGAGAGCATTGAACCTAGGGCATTTGGATAGCATTTAGTAAATGCTTTTCCGATAAATGTTGATTGGATAATAATGAACATAATGCTTATGATAATGTTCTGCCAATAAATGGATAGAGTATATTCAAAAAAAATAAAAAAACCTGGGTTCCTTCCCAAAGCTTCTCAAGCTGGTTCCATCCCAAATCCAGATCCACAAGATATTCAGGACAAAATGTACGAGGAAGAAACTTTCTCGGGTATAAATCCCAATGTAATGACCTTAGACGAGCCGGAAAATCCATGTCCTTGGGTACATGCAATTTCTCAACATTTGTATCAAATCTTGTCATGTGGATCTTAAGGAATCGAAGATTACACATACTCTTAAGAGCTTTTGCGCTTATATCCACGTTGTCTACGATTCTCGACATATCAAAAGATATGCCCCTCAAACTTCTACTACCCTATACAAAATTCAAAATACAAAAAAATAAATGATGTTAGAAGATACATTAAAGAAAAGGAAAAGAATGAATAAAAACTTACAGAATCATTTTCGAGGACATCGCGAATCTCATCAGTATCAACTAGGATTTGGCGTTTCCATGGCTCCTGTCTTTGAATCGCTTGTCTACCCACTTGTTGTAATAACTTGTGCATCACTATGTCTCCTTTGGTAGTTAAGTGTATGAGAGATTTGTAAGCGAGGGTTTTCAGCCCTAGTCTCACGTCCAAGTTAGTGTCAGCGAGCATTGCTTCTACATGCTTATCGTCCTCGTAGTTAAAGAAAACTGCAATGAGGAGAAAGAGAAATTGATCGTGCTCATGTAGACTGTCGTATCCAACTCTAAGTACTGCATCGATCTTTGGTATGTTGCTATTTTCTAGCCTACACAGTATACTTTCCCAGTCATCTGCTTTCTTTCCACGTAAAATTGAACCCATGACACGGAGACCAAAAGGAAGGTTGCCACAAAGCTCTGTTGCTCTTTCGGTAAGCTTTGCATAACCATCTGGTGCTGAGCTCCGTCTAATAAAAGCATATCTACAAAAGATCTTAAGAGCTTCTACTTTTGTTGGATAATTTACATGGCATAAATTGTTGATTCCATGTTGCTCCAAAAGCTCTAGATCTTCCGTGGTTACGATAATCCTACTTCCAGGACCAAACCAGTTAGTGTCATTAGCCAAAGCCTCAAGCTGCTGCAGATCATCCACGTCATCAAGAATGATAAGAACTTTTCGGTCAGATAACCTCTCCTCTATTGCACCTAAGTTGTCAAGTTTCATACCCTTTTGGTTTAAAAGCTTCGAAAGAAGATTTTCTTGTAAACGCGTCTTGGAACCATAATCGTCAAGACTGGTATTATAGCTTCCCTTAATATTCTCCATAAAACAAGTAAGGTGAAAATGGCTAGAGAATCTGCTATGCAAAGCCCTGGCAATAGTAGTTTTTCCAATGCCTGCAGGACCACAGATTCCAACTATCGTAGCTTCGTCCTCGTAATCTAAATTTAACAGATATTGCATTATCTTCAAGTGTGCTTCAATGCCAACCATGTGCTCAAAATCCCTAGAGATTGTAATGTTAAGCTTGTTTGAAACATCTCTAGCAATCTTTTCAATCATCTCCGATTCGTTGTCCCTAACAAGAGAGAAAATTCACCGTGCGTATCAGAAAGTCAGATGTGAAATGATATGCATATTCTATTGGCAGACACTCTTTAGTGGTTAGTACTTAGTGGCGATGGTCTCGTGTAGTCGAGTTATTGATTGTAACTAACAAGGATCGATAAAGGAAAAAAACATATGAAAAAACAATGTCTCTCTATTTATAGTAATCTTATAAATGGTAAGATAAATATTGTCTTGTAGGAGAAAGACATACGAGTTTGTGTTGATAAATTGACACATGAATGATATGATCAAATCCGAAATCAATCGAATCTTTTTTAGATTCACAAAGAAAAATTACCTAATGGGATTAAAAATTGAGGAAAGTAATAAATTAAACAAACCAGTTTAGGAAGTGTTCACCGGCTATGTTGGCAGCATGGGTCAAAGCTTGGGTCCATTGTCGCCTTTCCTCCACTGTTTTACGAGCACAAGTTTTCTTGAAAACTTTCCCAAAATCTCCGGTTTGTTTCCGGACATGGGATGGATCTACTCCGCCATAAAAGACCGTCATCACTATTTGATTCTTTTCTTCCTTGCACCTAAAAATCTCCACCAGTTCATCTAAACACCAGCTTGAAGAGGCGTAGTTTTTGGAGAGCACCACGATGGAGATCCTCGAGTCTCTAATGGCTTGCGTGAGAGCAGGGGCAATGGTTTGGCCTCTCTCGATCCCTTGATCGTCGAACATGGAAATCCCATTGTTGTTGAACTGTTTTCTTAAATGACTGAGAAAAGTTTTACGGACGTCAGGGCCATGGAAGCTCGTGAAGACGCGGTATCTCCATGTGCGTGGCCGAGAAGAATAAGAAGAAGAGGAAGAAGCCATGAGAGAGGACGACGGTGAGTGGTTCGAAATTCACAGAGATAAGTCTTCTATGGAAAGAGAAAATGGAAAATGGTAGTCCCACACAGACAGCTGGAGCTGGTGAGTTTCAAAATTTGTTATAACATTAACTTCTTTTTTCAACTAGTTTCAAAGTTCACAGAGATAAGTCTTCTCTATCTTTGAAAAGTAAACCAAATTTCAGAGGGAGTTATTATAACAAAAAGAAATAGAAAGAAGAAAAATGTCAGATATTCACATGTACTTCTTTTGCAAAAAGAACTGTAGATGACAAACAATAAGTGTGCAAATGATCTACTGGGTGCATCAGATTTTCCTCCAACCACTTGTCTATTGAAACAACAGAGCTGATGATATCAGTTGACAACTAAATACAAGTCTAATACTATATGATCAGGGTAAGAACCACAAGATAACTACAATCAGATATACAAAATTTGTTTACAAATACAAGGAACCTAGTTAATGAATGATATATAGAACCATTGGTTATGATCTGAACTAGTTTGCAAATTTCAGATCACCAAAAGTGTTAATACTTCTTTAGAAAGATATACACAAGAACACTTGAAATCAAACTCAAAAGGAAAGTAAAAACTAAAGGAAGAAACATTTTATAACCCTTAGAGATCCTTACTCTAGGTTCATCAAACTCATTGCTCTTATCATCAGAGACAACTTCATCGCCGTCGTCAGATACTTGTTCTGAACAAGATGCATCGCTCCCTATGCTTCTTCTGCTGGTTTCATCCATCAAGACCTGGACACCGCATTCAGTAACGTCAACTTCATGGGATGATGTGCTGAATTTAAACACCACCTCCTCGTGATGTTCAACAAACTCAACGTGAAATATAAGTAGATGTTCCGCTCGGATTTTAGGGAGATCTAACCAAATCATGTCTTCATCACTGGGACAACCTTTTGCACGTATGCGAAACATTAATTCGAAATAAGCTTCTTCCATATCTGGTTTAGGAGAAAGCACCAAGCAAATCCTAAACTTGCAGATAACCGGACGGATGGTCAAGGAACTTCCAAATGATCGATGATCATGAAACTCAGCAGGCATCTCTTTTCCTGGAAAGTAAGCTCTAAATGATTTCCGTGTTATTACTCTCTTTGCTTCTGAGCACAACTTGAAACAGTTTGGGAAGTAGAGAAACTCAGTTCTTGGAGTGTCAAAAGGAAAACATACCGTCTCCAGTGACTCACAATTGTCTACTGTTAGTTTTCTGAGCGAACGAGGGAGCTCTGGAAGTGATGCAAGTTTTGGACAGCCAGCTATATAAAGAAACTTTACCCCATTAAGATCTTTGATCCAATCTGGAATCCTCTCAATTGTAGCGAGGGAGAATTCTTGCGACGTGGTTTCCAAAAGTGGCTTTGTAAGGAGACTGCCATATATGTTGAGACTCTGAAGGTGAGACCAAAGGCTAATTGATTCAGGAAACTCTTGTAACATTGTGTCTCCGATTGCGAGTGATTTGATGTTGGTGGAGACATCTGGAATTTTTCTCAGTTGCCAGCATCCTAACATCCTGAGTGATTCAAGAGATGTCAAGTTGAGGTTAGTTGGAACAACTTGTAGACTTATACATAGATTCATCTCCAGCTCCTCTAGATTACTAAGATCTCCAATAGAGGAAGGAATTTCAACCAAACTCCAGCAGCCTGTTAGATTTAATCTCTTGAGACTTGTGGCATTTGAAAGATCAGGGACTTCCTTCAAACTCAGAGACCCGGACAAATCCATTTTCTTGAGATTTGTTAGGGGCTGAATGTAAAAACCAAAAGATCATCAACACATGGAACAAAGTATAGATTTGTTGTATTATTCAAACATAGACAAATATAAGTAACGAACCTGGATTCCTTCCCAAAGCTTCTCGAGCTTGCTATTTACAAAATTGAGTTCCACAAGATGTTCTGGTCTAAGTGTATGAGGAAGACACTTTCCTGGATATACTTCCCAATGTAATAACCTTAGAAGAGGTGGAAAACTCATCTCCTCAGGCAAATGCACTCTAACATTTGGATCACGTTTTGTCTCGTAGATGCTGAGAAATTGAAGATCACGCATTCTTCTAAAAGCTTGTGCGCTTATATACACGCCGTTTGGGATTGTGGATGTATCAAAAGATATACCCATCAGACTTGAACTATTATCCTACATCATTATTATTCCAAATAAAAAAATAAAATATTAGCACAACCAGATCTGTAAAGCATTTAAAAGAAGAAGAAAATAACAGCTTACAGAATCATTTTCCAGGACATCACGAATCTTGCGAGAATCAATTAAGATTTGGCGTTTCCACGGCTTTTGTGATTTAACCACATCTCTACCCATTTGTTGTAGTAACTTGTGCATCACTATTTTCCCTTCTGCAGATATTTGTATGAGAGATTTATAAACAAGGTTTTTCAACCCGAGTTTAACATTCAAGTAACTATCAACGAGCATTGCTTCCACACGATCTTCTTCTTGGTTGTTGAAGAAGCATGCAATGAGCTGAAATAGGAATCGATCATCCTTATGTAAACTGTTGTATCCGACTCTAAGTACTTGATCGATCTTTTGAGCAAGGCTATTCTCTAGCCTCTGCAATATACTTTCCCATTCATCTACTTTCTTTCCCATTAAAGATGAGCCCATGACACTGAGACCCAAAGGAAGGTTGCTGCAAAGCTTTGTCACTCTATCGACAAGTTTTTCAAAACCATGTGGCGCATAGCTCTTTGCAAAAGCAGAACTACAGAAGATCATACGAGCTTCTAAGTCGGTTGGAAAACCCACACGGTATGTATTGTTGATATAACCATGTTGGTCCAGAAGCTCTTGATCTTCCGTGGTCACGATAATCCTGCTTCCAGAACCAAACCAACAAGTCTCATAAGCCAAAGCCTTTAGTTGCTTTAGGTCGTCCACGTCATCAAGAATAATAAGAACTTTTAGGTCACATAGCCTATCCCGTATCGCACCTGAATCGCATATCCTCATATCATGTTGGTTTAGAATCGTTGAAAGAAGTAGCTTTTGTAACCGCAGCTTCAATCCATACTCGTCAAGACCACTGTTACAGCTTCCCTTTAGATTGTCCATAAAACAAGAAAAGTGGAAACTGCTGGAGAGTCGGCTATGTAAAGCTCTGGCAATGGTAGACTTACCAATGCCAGCAGGGCCACAGATTCCAACAATCATCGCTCCATTATCCTCATCATCTAAATGTAACAAAGACTGCATCTTATCCAAATGTGCTTCAATACCAACCATATCTTCAAAATCCCTAGAGACTGTAGCATTTAGTTTGTTTGAGACATTTCTAGCAATCTTTTCAATCATCTCAGACTCTTTGTCCCTAATAAGAGATTAAAATTCATATGTGAGATTTGATTCAGAGATTCAAGAAGATACAAGTGAAGGAAAAGCAAACAAACCAGTTTAGGAAGTGTTCCCCAGCTATGTTGCCCACATCGGTCAAAGCTTGACTCCATCTTTGCTTCTCCTCCTCTGTTTTACCACGACATGTTTTCTTGAAAATTTTACCAAATTCTCCTGTTTGTTTCCGAACATCAGAAGGATCTACTCCGTAGAAGATCGTCATCACGATCTGTCCAATCTCTTCCTTGCATTTCAGAATCCCTAAAAGCTCATCCAAACACCACCTGGAAGAGGCATAGTGCTTTGTGAACACAACGATAGAGATTCTTGATTCTCTAATAGCTTGTGTGAGAGCAGGGGCGATGGTGTCGCCTCTCTCGATTCTTTGATCATCGAACGTTGATATTCCATTGTTGGTAAACTGTTTGCGTAGATGAGTGAGGAAGGTTTTACGGACGTCAGGTCCGTGGAAGCTTGTGAATACGCGGTATCTCCATGTGCGAGGCGTGGAGGAAGAAGAAGAAGAAGCCATGAGATTAGAGTAGCGATAAAAGTCTGTGGATGAGTCCATATGTGTGAACAAGAAGACGTCATTTTTAGTAGATTGACTTTTGAGAAGAAGTTGCAGTTGCTTAGTTGTTTCTTGTCTTATTCCGCGATTTTCAGTGAGAACAGCTAGTTGGTTTCCGGTTCGAGGATAAGTTTACAACCGGTTTTCACTTTTCATGTGTGGCTGCGAAATGGAACATGTATAATGCTATTGCTCGGATTCCACAATCCACATAATCCAGGACCGAATACTTCTTTGCCCCACTCACTCCCATGTCTATTCTATATTACCCTACCAATAAAAAAATTTAAACTTTTATTCATATTTTAATCGAAAATGTGGTAAAAAACGGAACTACCCTTAACAAAATCTAATATTTACAGGTCCACTCTCCTAAACCCTCTCTTTCTCCCCGTGTCTCTCTCACAAATCTCTTTTTCCTAAATTCTTCTAAGTCTTTCTCATTTTCCCCTAAATCGAAAAAAAATTGGAAACCCTAAAATTTGTTCGTTGGCAAAATCGACCGAATCGAGTGAAACCAACGCTTCCTCCCTGTGTCTCTCCATCTCTCTCCCAAACCCTCTCTTTCCTAAGTCTTTCTCTCCGTGTCTCTCTCCCAAATTGTCGCTTCCATCACCATTCTCGGCGTATAAAAGGTAAGGCTTTTTCTTACCTTTTTTCACAATGTCAAATCATTTTGATGTGGATTCTTTGGGATATATGATGTGTACTTGTTTGGCTTAAAGAAATGAATGAATTTTAAAATTTTGAATCTGAATCTTTTTTTAAAGATTATTCTTTTGTTGAATGGTTAAGTGAATTGACTTGAATTGTAATCTGGTCAAAGGCTTCCTTTTATCCTTTTGTTTTATCTTTGTGTAACTAAATTGAAATCCTAGTTATAGGACTATAACGATTTTGTTTGAATGCTTCGTTTATTTCAGCATTATTTGAATGTTTGTTTTTTTTTGGATAATCAAAGTAATGACAGGTAAGAAGCGTGGACAGAAGAAGCAGAATAAGAACAACATGAAGAAGTCCAGAAGAGAAGATGATCATGTAGAAGAGCCTTCAACCAGAAATGATAATGATGATCTAGCACAAAGAAATGAGCCTGATCATCATTCTCGACAATAGAATGAGACTGAACATCTGTCTGCGACATCTGAGGTACTCATTCCCAAAATTATTTCATTGGTTGTATCGGTGTATTACTGGTATGACTAATACTACTAGAAAAAAAATTATATGATACTTATTCCAGCAGACCAGATTAATAAACAAAATGCTAATATAACTTTATATGGTTTTCAGGAATGCCAACCACTGCCACCGGATGAGCTATACTTCAAGAACACCGAGTTCACTAAGACAACCAAGATACAAAGCAAGTGCTTGGTGAGTAACAGAGTGGCTCTCATCAAGGGCCTTACGCCTGAGTTGGAGTGGTTTGAGAACCACCCTCAGTTTTGCCATATTTTCCACATGCCCGAAGAACAATACTTAAAGCTGCTTAGTGTATAGATGCTTCTGTTGCGAACCATTCCCTTATATGAGGGAGAGGACACAGCTTGGTTTGCGGTTAATGGAGTGCCTATCCGGTACTCCATGAGAGAGCATGCACTCATCTTGGGTTTGGACTGCCATGAATATCCGGATGAGATGGAGAAGTTGGGGAGCTGTGCTTTGGTAAACAGGCACTTTAATTCACATGCGGAGATAAACATGAGATCAGTGGAAGAGAAGTTGTTGAGCATGAGCGCGTGTGGGGATCGACTCAAAATGGTAGTGCTCTACTTCCTGGGAACTGTTATCAGAGGGAAGGGAAGGTATAATGCCCCCTTTGATCCTTTCATTTTAAGAATCGTCAACAACTTGGAGATTTGTAAAACCTTTCCATGGGGTCGCTTGACGTTTGATGATGTTATCCGGTCCATTAAACACTTGATGAAGCGTCTCAAAGGGAAAGCCAAGGCCAATATCAACTTTCCCGGGTTCATAATTCCTTTACAGGTAAACTTCACTTTTTTATATGAGTTTTGTTTTGAAATATCTTGTTTGTATGATAGTTTTTTTTTTCCTGAAAATTTCTATTTGTAGATGCTGGCATTTGAGTGCATTCCAACTTTGAACGCTCAATTTAAAGAACGTGTGTCCGGCTGTATAAGTACATGTCCGAGGATGTGCAAGTGGCGGTTCATAAGTAACAGCATGAAGGGTTATCCACTTGAGGATTTGTATGAAGCATTTGGACAAACAAACGTTTGTGTTTGATATTGTTTTGGTTTTTGGTTTTATTAAGTGATTTGGATATGATAGGCGTTTTTTTGTATTTTCAGAAAATACAAAGTGTATTGACTCCTACTGTTAATGAAGAAATTCTCATGGTGCGCATAATGGAGGACGAGCCAGACTATCAAAATGAAGACGAACCAAGTAATTTGTGGAGCTCATGGCTCACTATTAAGAAGAAGCCTATCTGGTGGAAGGATCTCTATGATTAAGATGTGGCTGCAAGATATTTTTCTAAGAAAAAAAGACAAAAGGAAAAAGAATGAAGAAGCATCCTCCTCTAATGCAAGATATGTGGGTTTGGAGGACATTTTGAAAGAGACTGAAGAGAGGATTATGGCATGTTTGAGTGAAGTAAATGTGAAGGTGGATAAAATGGACAAGCGACTTGGTGTCTTGGAAAAAAGCCACGTGGTTTTGAAAAGGAGGGCTAAGAGGATGAAAGCAATGGAGAAGAGGCTTGATGTCTTGGAAAAAAATCACATGGTTTTGAAAAGGAGGACTAAGAGGATGAAAGCAATGGAGAAGAGGCTTGTGGAGATTGAGAACGAAATGAAGAAGAAGAAGGAGAACGAGAACAGTTATGGTAACGATACTTGGAATGAGAAGCGTTATGATAAAGTGAGTGGAGAAGAGGCTGAAGCTGAAGCTGAAGAAAACAATGAGAAAGAGGCTGAGAAACTAAAGGAGGCTGAGGAGTCTCGGGTTGATGCAGAGGGTGGAGTAGTGGTGGAAACAGAGACTCGGGTTGATGCAAAGGGTGGAGTAGTGGTGGAAACAGAGTCGCGGGTTGATGACAAAGAGGCTGAGAAACTAAAGGAGGCTGAGAAAGAACCCAAAGAAACTCTTACACCAC